TATTCGCGGCCTCTATCTCATGAGCTCCTGGAGTGAAGGCGGCCTCTCAGCAGCCTCCATCCCTCCTCCATCCATGTGAACAGTCTCCCTTCTTCACTCATCCCCTCCCCCTAATCATTGCAAATAAAAAATCTTCAGTTTTGAAGGACTAGTGGTGTTGAAAGGTGCCCAAAGAATCTGATCAAATCTGATCTTACAGTGAACCAATTTCGATTTCCATTTTGGAACACCAGTTGCGTCACAAGATCAATTACGCTTTCAAATTGACGCATAGTAGCGAAACACAAAATCCACGAATAAAATCCAGAAAAAAATTCGCGAATTTCTTTGACGTGAAGATGAGTTGAATGTTTGGAGACGAAATATTGCTCAGCTAAGACAAGGTAAAAAAAAAATGAATTTTAGAAAAATTTAAATCATCTTATTTTCTCAAATCTTAGATGGGTAGCGATCAGTTTTGTTTAAAATGGAACAATTATCAAACGAGTATGGTACAGGCTCTAGAAATGTTAAAGGTAATGTTTTTTTCGTTCAGTATATCTATTATTTTGTGTTCAGTATATCTATCATTTGGGCTCAGTATATCTATCATTTTGTGTTCAGTATATCTATCATTTTGTGTTCAGTATATCTATCATTTTGTGCCCAGTATATCTATCATTTTGTGCTCAGTATATCTATTATTTTGTGTTCAGTATATCTATCATTTTGTTTTCATTATCTCCATCATTTTGTGTTCATTAACTCTATCATTTTGTGCTCAGTATATCAATCATTTTGTGTTCTTTTATGATCAGGACAGTAACAAATGACTACATGTTTTTTAGACAATTTTTTTTATTTTTCTTTTCGGCAAGTTTTTAAATTAAAAATTTAGTTTTCACCAACCTTGAATAAATTTGATAAAAAAACTATTTCTCCTTTTTGTTAAATTAATATAACTTTTATTATTATTATAATTTACTATTAATTGCTAAATCTATAGCAGTAAATTTTCTAATAATATGTATTATTTAATCCTGAAGCAATGTGGCCACACTTTACAGGCTTCGGTTAAGCTTTAAACGTCAATACTATGTTTATAAATTAAGAATTGCAATAATTATGAAAGAGGGGAATAAGGGGGGGAGGGATTAAATTATATTTATTAAGGAATTTATTATTTGCCATTCTTTGTATAGAGACTCATTTTTAATACTTTGAAAACTTGAAAACTTTGAAAACTTTGAAAAATTGATAGTTTGCTTTGTCGATTGATTTATTAATTGTACAAATGATTGATTTACCTATTGATTAACTGATTGATTGATAGAAAGATAGATTGATTAATTGATTGATTGATAGATAGATAGATAGATTGATTGATTGATTAATCAATTGATTGATTGATAATTGATTAGATGAGCGAGGAGCTTGTAGATGTAACACTAAGCTGCGAAGGAAGACGAATGAGTGCTCACAAGATAATTTTGTCCGCCTGCAGCCAGTACTTTAAGGATATATTCAAGGTAAAAATCAATCCAAAATCAATCCACACAGATCAAACAGTTTCAGATTTAAGATCAATCCACACAGATCAAACAGTTTCAGATTTAAGATCAATCCACACAGATCAAACAGTTTCAGATTTAAAATCAATCCACACAGATCAAACAGTTTCAGATTTAAGATCAATCCACACAGATCAAACAGTTTCAGATTTAAAATCAATCCACACAAATCAAACAGTTTCAGATTTAAAATCAATCCACACCGATCAAACAGCTTCAGATTTAAAATCAATTTACACAGATCAAACAGTTTCAGATTTAAAATCAATCCACACAGATCAAACAGCTTCAGATTTAAAATCAATCCACACTGATCAAACAGTTTCAAATTTAAAATCAATCCACACAGATCAAACAGTTTCAAATTTAAAATCAATCCACACAGATCTAACTGTTATGATTGTTATGAGCAATGTGCATGCTAAATTGTCTCCAGATCAAGATAATTACAATTAAAGTAGTCCCAAAAATCAAAACACATTTCATGGTAAATATAATGCAGAGATAAACCCGTTTCAAGGCAAAGATCATTACGTTCAATATATAACTGTTCCAAAATTAAGATTATTTTGCACAGATGAAACCATTTAACAGTAAGGATCACTTTGCACAAATTGAACGGTGCAGATTTAGATGAAGATCAATTCCATTGTTGTCAGATTTAATCTAACTACTACTTTAAATATTTAAAATCACATTCTGAATTAGTTTCATTAAATTAATTGAATCCAATTTTAAATAAACATTTGGCTTAAATGATTTATATCAGACCATGGTATTTCAATATTTTGAAATATAAACAACAACCTAATACAAATTATACCACCAACTGGTTGAATTTGAAAACACAAAAATATATGTTTCCCAATGTGAGAGTATGTTGCATCTTAATTATAAATAAACGATTTTATCCCGAATAATTCTTTTGTAAATTTAAACTTGAAAAGATTTTCCAGAAAACAATTTGTTTCAAACTTTTACAATAAATTTTCAAAGAAATCATTTTTCACTTCAGCTGCTCCTGCTTAGATTTAATTCAATCTCTGCCGTAAAGGTGCGATTGAATCAACTGCAATAGCATATATTATAGGAAAGACTTAGATCGTTTCATCTAAGGTAACCAAGATACATTCGACTCATGTACATTTGAATCTGAGCTGAACCGACCTTTACTGTCCTAGATTTTACTGCCCCACCCGGTACACCGAACCCACTGGCAGACATATGGCAGGGGTCAATAAAGTTTGCCTAGTCTGTTGGCCGGGCTAGCTTGTGCAACTAGGTTGACGTGGTCTGACTTTAGGCTGCAACTGGTTAAATTTACAATCACTAAAGCAGCAATTTTGCATGAGAGATAAAGTTATTAAAATGGATTCGTCTGTAATAACATACTCCAGGTTATAGATTTTAAATTCTGTAATTTAGTTCTGTATCAATTTATGTGTTTGGTGTGTTTATTCGTACCCAGTACACGAAAACTGAAGGAGAGGTTGGGTCTAATTGCTTTACTCACATTAACCAAATAGGGAAGGTTGCCTCTAGATGATAATATTCTGGATTGTTTACTCTAGTTTCTACTAGATGATGGAACTATTGT